CTGATCCTTCATGACTATGAATGATCAGTCCAATCTTACTGCAAATGATGCACCACAAGAACATCCCTGCTCAGCTAATGGATTATTGACAATTTTAAAAGAAGACCGAATAAGTTCTTCTTGATAATCTACAGTGGCCCCTTTGACAAAATCCAGAGACACACTATCAATTATTACTTTTGCACCATCTTTTTCAAATGTCCTTAAAAGACAACAGTGTACTTAGTTAAGCTATACCGTTTATCAGAAGAAAAATACAAAATATCATACTTGTCATCTTCATTTATTTTGGTGTCCAAGTCGAATTTGTATTGAAAACCAGAACAGCCACCTCCTTCTACAGCTATACGTAGATATGCACCTTTATCCGCGATTTTCTTGATTCTTGATGCACATCTATCGGTTATACTTAACTCAGCTTTCACGTTTTGTAACGGTTTAACTACAGTATCTGTGATATAACGACAACTTTTTAAATTATTTACCATGGTTCTTGTTAAAAAATTAATCAATTTAGTCTGCGACATTATTCTTAATTAATAAAATTTTGATAGACAACACAAAAACAAAACATCTTTGAGGTTAAGTCGGATCAATCGTACTTCTTCTTCGCCATTTTAAGACCAATCAATAAAGAGTTCATATAGCCAATTCTACTATACAGGGCGATGTCTTCACTATTATACTTAAAGTTAACTATTTTTATCAAAGTAAATAAGTAAATATTTGTATTATTATTGTATATTAACAGTGCCTCCTAAAAGAACGATAGATATTGCTAACGTTAATAACTGCAATTTAAGATGTATGTTTGCAAAATGAGGTAATTTGTCTTTTATTATTTACTGGGCATATTTCCGCATTCTTATAATTTGAACAAAGAAATATTTAGAGAATGTTGAAAGAGAATGTAAGTTTTATTTACCCAAATTTTTATTTCGATCGTTATTATAATACATACATTATTGGCACTGTTGAAAAAAATATATTTCATATCAATCAGCATAAATTACAATAAAAAAACAAACGCAATAATACTTGTAACAATTTCATATTCGAGAAACAATAAGAATCAACGTTGTTACGCACGCACGTTTACTGCGTTGTCACAACGCTGCACACTCGCTCTTTCTCTCTTCTCCATTCTCTCTCTCCCAAGCTTTCGCACGTTATCATCGCGATACATGCTCGAATCACAAAGAACATTCGATCGATCGTCACTTTTTATCGTCGAGTTTACCTTTATCTAACGACGACGTCACTAGCATCGATTGTCCTTGACTGTTTTGATTCGGAAAGACTTTTTCCAAGTTTTTCAACGACTCACTGAGCACGTTCTGGACCGCCGTAAGTGCGGCAACAATGGCAGGACTGCCGAAACCGTGACTTATGAGCGAAAACGTGGTCAAAGGAGTCTGTATATGCGAGTCGAGTATAATTTGCGGCCTAGAATTGCACAAGGGTGATCTGTCTTGATTTAACAGGTCCATGAGTTCTTTTGTGATCTGTTTGGTGGCCTGGAGTAACTCCTTTCTTCGGGGTGTTTGACCGTGTTGTAAATTGAGATACTCGGCCACTTGTTTGGCGGGGAATTCCGTCTCACAAATGTAACCGAAATCCCTGGCTAAATGGATCGCTTCACCTTCCACTAAGGATGTTAAGAGGGTTACGTTGGCGGCTTTTCGTCGACCCGCGGGAAGATTAAGGCCTATTTTCTCGAGCTTCTCGCGTAAAATTCGCCCGCCATTTTTACTTTTAGCACGACGTAAAACGCCACCTAGTAGAGAAGCGTTTAAACACTCAGGGGTTGACAGGCGCCGTTGTACTTCCCCGACGGTCACTTTGTACTTTGACGTGGACGACAAGAGGGAGAGACGACCAGGAACCGAGCAGAAAACGTCGCTAGGAGACGCCAATAAGCCGCCATGTTCTTTTCCACCTTTTATACCTAAAATTAAATAAAAAATTAATTAAATATTTATTTTCAATAACGTATAACGTAGAGATAAAGTAAGTTTTTTATTCAGTAGAATTCGAGCTATTCCCACAAGAACCGTTTATATTTAAAAAGAACACCCTGTACAGTATGATACATTGAGATTACCTAACCGTTAATTACATACAGTAGGTTCCTAACGAAATTGAATACGAGCGAATGGATTGAGGTAAAGTTTTCGAACTGTGTGTATAACCAGTGTTTTACATTATTAGATACATTATTATACATAATGCAGCAGGGTAAAGGGTGCAGAAAAATGAATAGGGGTCAGAGGCGGTTTTTCACACGGGTCAATTATTATGTTGTTTATTTCGTAGTTCATTTGTTCAGGCAATTGTGAACTTTGACAGATGTGATGTGGGCACGCCTCGTACATTATTACATCATTAGAAAAACAACCTGCTGCGATTCGCATGTTTTCTGCATTGTGCTCCACCCTTCACGACTGTATTGTAACTCTCTTTAGATACACATTATATCGGCTATGTACAAACAGGCTTATATGCATGCATCTGCATGGTTGCTATAAACGTAGCAGGTAAAGAAGATAAGAACCGTGACCAGCAAAGTACGGCTCAGCGAAGTGGATTTATGCGCTCCAGATAATTGAATCAGTAAAAATTTCAGGAGGGAAAAAATCTGAAACTATTTAAGTCGATTCGTATTTCCCGAAAACTAAAACTGAAACATTAATCTAATCTAGAGCTTCATCTGCCCCTCATTACTCCTGTCTCTGCTCCTAATATGTCTCTAACTATCTTCATATCTTAGAAGGTGTCCTGCTTGCCATTTTGTACTTTTTCGTCTCAATTTTTTATATTAGCTATAATTCTTCATTAACCAAATACACCAAATTTTTTTTGGTTGACTCCAATAATGATAAACACCACGAGACCCAAAATTATTTTGGCAAACATGAGTGGGTTAAAAAAAATTGATTTGATTTTTGATATTTTGTTTCTTTAATAATTTCGAAAACGTTTTCATTCACAACTAATTAATTGTGTGTAATTACGCGGTGCAAACCAAAAAAACGATCTAAACTTACTTTTTAAAAGAGGTAAGTCAGAGATGAATCCGGTATTGTCATCTATGCCACCCTGAGCCTCTTCGACGGCTTGTCCAAGGGCTTGGTGAAGCGACAAGGGGTCGTCGTGGGGTCTATGAGCGGCAGATAACGAATAATCGGCCCTACCTCCACTTGGAGTTCCACTGTATGGAAAACTTGCACCGTGTCCCAGCTGCGCCTGTAAATATAAAAATACTCCAAATAAATCGACATTCAGTATACACATCATGGAAATGGAGAACAGAGAACAATCTAGATGAAGTAAAAGAATTCGCATAACTAGGATCGACATTTGCAAAAAACAGTAGGTTGAAATCAAGAGCGTAGATAGGTAGGGGAAGGGGAGCACTGCCCCCCTTCCAATTAGCTCATTTGCCCCCCGGAAAAGGCTCTGATTAGTCACGATATAGGTAAAAAGTTTAAAAATAGAAACCAAACTTAAATAAGACAAAGTTTGTTAATATGAGAACCCTTGTTAAAACCAATTGTGATACTAGTCGACATTAGATGCAAGCAATGATAGAAATTCGAGCTTGAAAATGACTGAAATAGACAGTCGAAACGTCGCTTTTACGCTTTTACAATAAAGAAATTTCAAATATAGAACACATCGTTGGTTATTTGGCGAGATTAGAGTCATTTTTTATAATTTGAATTTTAAACACCAACGAAATTAGATTCAATTAATAATTCAAACTTAATTCGCAGTTATTGAAAATCTGCCCCTCTTCTATGAAAAATCTCTCGCTACGTCCATGGATGAAGCACACATAAGAGAAACTGCATGGAAGGCAGGAGGAATCATAGCGCAACTGTGAGGAATTGGGAGAAGAAAATTTGTAAGAAATTGGAAAAAGAGAATGATAATGTCTCATATTTTGGTGAAAGTATTTTTATGTATGGAGTTGAAATTTCGGTATCGCAAACTACAGACAAACTGGAAAACCTACAAAATAAGGTGGGAACTGATCCTAGAGAAATTCGCGCTAAATTGCAATGTTCTGGAAGAGACCATATAAAGACAGAACCAATACGCATAGAAGCGAAACGTAGAGTAAAATGCAAAAAAAAAATTACTGAGGAAATCAAACAGAAGAGAAATGGAAAAAGAGGAGTCGGAAAATAAAAAATGGGGAAAAAATGGAGAAACTAATGGCAGTTATTTTACGTATTTCAGTTACAATTTCAGAAACTAGAACGCAATGTAATTTTTTCGTATAGTTTTGTACTGCTTAAACTTTTGGGTGCTTTATTTAGCTTTCACCAGCTAATGCTTCGATCCAAATTATGGTGCAGAGCCGGAGGAGACGGCGGAAAGTCCTCTTGAGCTTCCTTACAGAGATCTTGACAATGGATGGGTGGAAGTGGTTCAGGTGTGAGAAAGAAGAGACAGACGAAAAGAATAGAGGTGAAATATTATCTATCTGTGGCTCTTTATTACTTCTCCAGCAGCATTTACCTAAATCATCCAAGAAAATTACAGAAAAATTTGGACAAAGGCAAACGGTGACCTACCTGTGAACGTTAAGTAGAGGTCTAACCTTCTAGGTCACGCCGCTCGGTCAGTTTTGTATCAACCAAAGAAATAAAAACAAATTCATATTCAGAAATGTGTAAGAGGAGAAATTATAAATTTTTTGTCATAGGAAATAGACCTATTTAGAATATTAAACCGTAATAGTGTCTTCACTTTTTATAAAAAAAAATGTTAGGAACCTTTCACAAACACTTTGGCGTCTAGGGGAGGCAGACGCTACAGTTACCTTCCTTTTCAACCAACTTCAAAAAGAATGTACTCATGTTTAAATAAAAGTACTGTATTTAATTAAAAAACTACAGTCGACGTCTCGCCCAGATTGTTCGGATTTCTCAAGGGTAGTTTTAGTACATTTTTAACTATACAGAACTTAGCTTAGAAAATCCAGCGACATGGGCTGTGGTTTTATAAATAAATACAGTACTATTAACCCCAATATTGCCTTGATTTAAACAACTGAATACAAATTAGGGGAATTTAAATTTTACAATGATTTTAATTGATTTCAGATACACCTTTTTCAAACTTTGCACTTCACCGTTTAGCTCTTCTCATTTACACGAGTTTACAGAGAGAGTACAGGATTTAATCGGTTGTTCCTTCAACCTTTGCCTTCTTCATCTTCTTCTTATCTCGAGATTGGATCGACGACAGTTCGTCATAACTTTAAAGCAAAAACGGTATAAAGATTAGAGCGAGAAAGGAGTGCGATGTACAAGAGAGAAAGACAGAGAGGGAGAGATTTCGTTGAGTTGGCACAAGGCGATGTTTCGCATATTTGTGCCGTCTTGACATAGTTTCGAGGCTCTCTTTGAGAATGCCATTCATTCCGGAAGCGATAACTCAGCTACCTCCACCACGTAGTAGACTTTGTGTAATGTACTTATACATGCACAGATATTAGACGTGAGTATATATAATATACATATATAAACATAAGGTACCAATAGCGGGTTTACAGGGTGGTACGTTTCAAATTGTGCCCCACTTTTCCTCTATTAAAAATTATTATAAATAAGTACGACTATTAGAACTTGCGTATCGCAGAAAAATCGATGAACTGTTTCGATGTTTCTGTGTTTTTTTGAATACATAGAAGCTTTAAAAAAACGAGACCTTTAATTTAATATACGTTAAGTAACATCTAACAACAAAAATATTCGTTACAGTTAAAGGTCTTTCATCAAGTTGATGTATATCTCCAAAGGTTCCCCGGCTTTCTCTCACAATTTTAAATTGAGAGATTAGATGAAACTAATAGAGAAATATTTAAGATAACCAAAAAATAATTTTGTATTCATGCTATCGTGAATATTTCAAAAACTGCTACACTATATGTACACATTATAATCACTATGTGTAGTTTTCGGTAAGTTCTTACGTTCCCGAGTAAAAATAATTCATTAATTTTTCACTCAACTAAAATACCGCCAAATTAGCACCGTAAATTGTTCCAAAAAACGACGAAAAAAGGCCCGTTTGCAGGACTAAACCTCCGAAATAGCGCCGAAATAGCACTAAAATAGCACCGCATTTCAGTAAACCGCCAAAAAAGCACCGAAAAACCGCCGTTTTTCTACTAAAAGAGCGTTGGAACAGTACTCTTCTCGCATGAAATAACAAAAACTGATTAATTATTAATTAACTTTTATTTATGTTATAAAGTATTAAAGATTCTGAATATTGTAACAACTATCATTATTATTTGAACTATTATTACTATTGTTAATATTATGATTAATGTTATTATTACTTATTTTATTATTGCTATTTTCATAATAATTATGTGGCTGTGCATTATATTGTTGATGATACGGCTGATAATAATTTGGGTTCGGATAATTATAATATTCATGATAATTTGAATACTGCGGAGGTACATGATGTAGGTTAAATGGAACGCTGTATGGCGATGGATATGAAAAATTTAATTGATTAGGATCATTAGGTGCAGGATAAGTAAAATTTGGAGATGTATGTTTTAATGATGATGTTGGTGTTGGTTCTGATGATGATGTGGGTGCTAGTTCTGATGATGATGCTGGTGCTGGTTCTGATGATGACGGTGGTGATGGTTCTGATGATGACGGTGGTGCTAGTTCTGATGATGACGGTGGTACTCGTTCTAAAGATAACGGTGGTACTGGTTCAGATAATGACGGTGGTACTCGTTCTAAAGATGACGGTGGTACTGGTTCAGTTAATGATGGTGGTACTGGTTCTAAAGATGACAGTAGTACTGGTTCTGATGATGGTGGTGCTGGTTCTGATGACGATGTGGCTGGTTCTGATGACAGTGGTGCTGGTTCTGATGATGCTATTGATGATTGGGATGTAGGTAGTGACGGCGACGCAGAAACTGATGAATGAATTAATATGTAAATAACACGATAATTATGATAATTTATGCAATTTCATGAAACATTCTTCAATTAAAAACAACAAGGACAAAGCTGATTAATTGACTTATTTACTCTTATTTCTTTTAGAAGTTGATGCTAGTGTTGATGTTACCGCAGGTGATGAAGGTGCTGCTGGTGGTTGTGATGTAGTTGATAAAGTTCCTAGATAAAAATTAAATTTATCAATAATATGATTATGGNAAAAAACCAAGATCGAGGATGTATCGGTCTTGGTTTTGATTTTGCTTTGCTTATCACTAGTTGCAGCAGGTTCGTAGCCCACAACTTAATTATTTCTCTGATTGTTTCTTTATTACTTAATATTTCTTTGAAAGATAATTTCCAAACAATTTGGGGATTAATGCCATTCGTTACATGCCAAATTATAGGTTTCTAATTGTAAGTGCGATACGTTTTTTGAAATAATCGGTTGTGACAGACGGGCAGATTCATAAAAGTGATTTTTCCTTATTGAGGTATAAAAGAATTTTTTAGTTATTCTGAATTTGACAATTAAAAACATTTTTGAAAACCATTACTCATAAAGTGGGTTCCACCTTAACCGGCACGTGTATTTTCAATTGTTGAGAAAACCTGATAACTTTGCCTTATAATACCCATAGATATTCAGTAGCTTTAGTTTTGACGTGTTCAAATCATCCCTTAAATATTAATTTGGCGCCCCTACATTATAAAAAATCTACTCCGATATATAATAAAACTTAAGTATATATAAATAGTGTATTTTTGGTACTCACCACATGAGAATGGTTCGGATCACCCTCTCTGGGACGAAGACCCAGCTGGTTGTAATGGTGCAGTCCTGACAGACCGCCGTAAGGGTCGGTCAAATACTCGAGGTGTTGTTGGGGAGGTGGACTGGGCGGGTGGTGAAAAGGCGGGGGGAAATAGGGCGGCTGGAAGTCGGGCTGAGGCAACTGGTGCTGCATGGTGGAGCCGTGGTGCAATCCGCTGGAGCCTCGATGGCCCGGACCCCCGGAACCGCCGGCACCGTAGCCCGCAGGGCTGCCGCCGCTCAGGGCTAACGAACCGTGGCCGCTGGCTGTTAGCCGTTCCTGAAAAAAAAAGAGAAAAATTAACTTTAATTAAGCTGTGAGGTTTTTCTGGGACAGCTGGTAGGAATGAATATAAATTTAGCTTTAGAAAATGACCCCAAAAACATAATAATGTCAAACCATGGTAAAGCTTCTAAAGATACAAATCTTCCTGTCTCCTACGGTTTATATATAGAAGATAAAGCCAGATTATCCCGAAGAGAATTAGTCCTTAACGAAGGTAGCTTGAAATGTATGTATTAGATACATGGTATATTAGGGAGGTTTTGGGGTTTGAGTGAGAAATTGAGTAAGGAATATTGGGGTAGGAGAATGGATGTTATGTTAAGGTGATGACAAGATATGGGAATGGGAGGAAAATAAGGAGGTAGAATTGCTACAGAGAAGATATATAAAAAGTGGGTATGAAAATTGGAAAGAGGTACGTCACGTAATAAGGAGGGAGAGACAAAAGGTGGGAAGATGTGAGAGGAAGTAATAAAAAGGGTAATAAAATATGAGGAGTGGTTGGAGAGGCTGGAAGAAGGGGATATAAGGAACGATACATGGAGGAGGAAGGTGTGGCGAATACAAAAATATAAATAGATATGATAGAGAAAGGGAGCTTTGAAATTTTTAAAAACCAAACAGGAGCAGATGCGGGAGTGGCTTAAGGAAGGGACAAAAGTAGGGAAATTGGTGAGGAATAAATACAGGGAATAATAAGAGGAAAGGATTTAAGGAAAATAGGGATATGTAGTGTGTATGAAGGAAACAATGTGGAGGGACCGGGGCAAGGAGACTAAGTAGTATGGTATTTGGATGGAGGAAAGAAATAAGTGTAACGGCAAGTTTTAGGACAGCGAATGAGTGTAGAGGATGTACTTTTTGGGAAAAGGAAGAGGAAAGAGGATGTAGAATTTATGAAAGGGAGGAAGAGCGCTTGAAGCATATGTTAGGAGGATTTAAGAATGGTGGGATGTAAGAAGAATGGTATGAGTTGGTGAATGAGAATGTGAGTGAACTGAGTCGTCTGCAGAAGATTTTAATGAACAGGAGATAATATTAGAGAATGAGGAAGGGATTTAGATGAAAAAAGATGTGAATAATAGATATAATTTGTGAAGCTTGATGGAAGGCCAAAGAATGTGAAAAATTTAATTTTTTGTGTTAAAAGTAAATTAAAAGACGTGAAATAATAATATAAGGGGAGGAAGTGATTATGTATATTTACAAGGTGCTTGTATAAATAGGTGAGGGGTGGTTATAGGTTTAATTGGTTGTTTCATTTCTTGTCATTTTTACGTGTTTTTGAGATTACCTATTAAGTTATATGGTTAATTGTCCTGTAGAGTGAAGGTTTATTTAGAATTTTTATGTATTGATGTTTGAAAATAACTTAATTATAAATAAAAAATAAATTAAAGAGAACTGGTCCCTGAAGAAGCTACCGAAAAGTAAGTGATGCAATCAAATTTTGCAGTTATGTATAAGTATTTCAAATAGAGGATTACAATGATCCTCTTTTTCAAATACATCGACACAATAATTATTTGCATCTCTGCATAAATGTGAGATATAAAATTAAAAGGTTCATCTCTACATGAAGTTACTTAGAATCAAATAGAAACGGTGTTCCAATAAATGCCGATTAAAAAAATTAAAACAGTATAGCCCGAAGGTTTAAATTCGTACAAAATTACACATTTATTACTAATTGTATTAAGTCAATTTAGAAATAAATTTATTTACACTTTAGATTAAGTAAGTATAATTTTATAACTTGAATCACTGTTTCTTTTCCACTTTGTTAAAATTACGTATTAATTACATGAAAAATGCAAAATTAAAAGATAAGTAGGTACATAATTACAATGAATATTTCAATCGATAAGTACCTTTCGGTTAATACCTAATACGATTTTGCGAGTAAGAATTTCGCCAATACAATTTACTACTTAATGACTTAAGGAAATTACTAAATAAATAATCTATCGCATTATCAACCGGATTTACTAATCACTTTTAATTTAAAATCATTTTATTTTCTATTTTGCCAATATCTCTTAATTAATTGCATTTTCATCCCGCCGCCTTCACCATTTTATTAAAATTAGAAAAGGTACACACCACATATGGATATCTTTTAATTTTAGAAGTTTCTTCTCATTCTTGAAGATTTTAAAATTCTAGATTCTAAGTTACTTCACTGAATAAAATTTTACTAATAGACCTAGCTACGTATGTTTTATAAAGGACTAGGGATGATAAGTATACAAAAATAAGCCCCGCTTTAATCATTTTTATTTTCAACTATATAACTAGAAATTGAATGACTAATTATAGGTACACAATCAAACGCTACCCAAAGAAATGGTTTATAATGAAATTACGTAAAATACATGAAAAATTGTTTTGTAAATGTGAACGAAACGAGGTACTAATTTGTTTTCAATAAATAATAATAAATCCTTACTCATCCAAGAAAATATTTTTCAGAATATGACTGGTAGGTACCTTCATTCGCAGAATATGAAATATATCGATAATAACGAACAAATACAAAACAATTGATAAAAACCCTAAAAATAATTGTGTTGTAAAAGGAACAATAAAAAAAATAATAAAATAATTTTTTTTTCAAAAACACTATTATTAGGGTCGTTTTTAACACCTATTGTTCTTTTGTTTTGTTTGTCACTGGTCTGTGCGGAGAACTACTACTAAAAATGTATAATTTATAAATTTCTTCCCTAATTAGATAACATTCGATATTACCAGACTAATAAGCTGTTTAATTAATAATTTTACTATAAATACGCAACGGTTATTTTAAACAATTTTTGCTAGTGTAAAAATACTTACAAATAACTGCTGTAATACATTATGGGGATGAATCTTGGTTAGCAAACAAATATCCTACCTAATAAATTTCAGCATCAATCCCGGAAGAATAAATTCAAACTTGCCGCTCCAATTTCACTTAAGCTGCATTACCAACCACAACAAACTTAAATCACTACTGCCTTTTCACTAAACTAGGTAGGTACATGGTGAAAAGTAAAAGAAGTGCATATATCACTTTCAAATTTCGCGGAATGAATCGCATTATTTATTAAGTTGCTTATGTCAAGTCAACGAAGAGAACGCAACCTTCTACCGTCGTTCAACTGTTTCGATACCAGCCACCTCAAGCGATGAAGTGGCATGAGACGAAACGTCTGTTGGGGGATGCCCCGAAGCTACTAAAAGTCGGAAAGCACGTGCATCGACGCCAGACGATCATCACCGAATGTAAAACGGACTAAAAGATAGTTTGCGAACGCCAGGAATTTGATAAGGGGGATTAGCATCTCAGGATATTTGGAAATATCTTTACTTTTGAAAGGGGAGAGCGCCAGGCGCTCCGTTACATTCCTTGTATTCTTTCAGATATTTTTCAGCCATCAAAGGCTAATCTTTGCTAAACGTCTCTGTTAAGGATTCGTGAAAGTACAATAAAGGATTTATCGCTAGTGGTAAAATAATTTAAATAACTTAGGCTGAAAATTTAGAAATTTATAGTTTCTAATGATAAAAAGAACTAACGAAATTTTGGTTATTATAATAAAACAACACCTAAATTGGATCTTATTTACACTGGATGCATGAATGAAGTTGCTCGCTTACATTGGCCTTTAGAGACATTCCATGAATGCCTTCTAATTCTTTCACCGAAGGGAGACCAAATAATTCTAAACTCCTTGGAAATGGGTAATCTAAAATACTGGATCGATATTGTTTTTCGGGTTCAATTTCATGGTGTATGGAATTCTGAAGTTCCAAATTGATATCAACACTTATACCTTTAGCAAAGAACTACGAAATTCGATGAATTACGACAAAACAGCCCGCAAAACAATATCGAATTGATATACGACAGCCGCGTAAAACTGAAAACTATAAGATATTGTGGTGTGCTAATAAATGCGTATAATCCAAAATTATTAGAAAACGATTAGAAAAAACTTCACTCATAGCAGAACCTAAAGCTAAAAAAACTATGGATTCCATTTCTTTCTCTTGACAATGTGTAAAAGATCAGAATAAATAGATATAATAAATAGGTAATTTCAAAGTTAGGCAACTTATTAATTTTGTTGATCAAAAGTTAAAAAAATGGATAATTATTTAATTGACAGTAAACAATGAGATGCAAAAGTAGAAAAAGATGAAGAATGAAGTAAACTGAAAATCAATGTCTTCATATCAAGAAAACACTAACTTGAATGTTTGAAATATAGAACACATGGACACTATGAAATTTTTTATGTGGTTAGTATTTCTAATACCACCAACCCTTCAGTTCACTCTGTCGATGACAAATTAAGGAGGGCATTGTTTTGAAATCAGACCACTAGGAACACAGAAACCAATGAGTCTTTTGACTTTGAAATCATCTATTTATTCTAGATCCTCTGTAATTAGATCGAAATTGGTATTAATTACTCTTTAGAAATATGAACATCACTTATAGTTCCTATCATTTCGAGTTAATATTTGGATCGGCTCAAAATAATATGACAAAGAAACCTTCAAATGCAACCTGACATCTCAAAAAAAAAAAACAAATAATAATAGCCGTCAAATAAGGGAAAAAAAGGTTTCACATGCGATAGTAGTACATGAATATTGTTTATACACTTCCTCGACGTGGAGTGTTTCCGAACCGTTACATAATTACAAAGCACACTTGTAAAAATAACAACGACGTCAAGCAGGTACGTTTTGAAATAATTATGGTACGTAAAATGGCAATAATATTCAGTCAACTTACGCAATATCAGATACAGGTGTTTGCCGATATCAATCTCACAATGTGTAAATGATACGTCACGTTTCGTATGCTATCTTCGTCATCAACACTTTCAAAGGCGTAGCAGTTTCGTTAATTAAATGATAAAATCTACTGGTTTGATTGAAAATCAGGCATGCCGCATTTATTTTCACACGTGTTATACTATAATAAATAAACTGAACAA